TTTCCTTATTCTGGGCAATTATAAATCTTAGTACCTACTACTTACATCAATGCTGTCCAGATCCATAAATCCAATTGTCTACAATTTGCAAAGTAATCCTCCAGAACCATGATTCTGTCATATGACCAATCAACAGAACTATTGTTCCTTGATGTCCAATGTGCAGATATCACAAGAAAGTGTGGAGCTTTTTAGTCCTGACTTGAGCAGCACAGCATTATTTTCATATCAAAGTTGTACTTCAATTTCTTTATTGAATTCAACATTAGTAATTTAAGAATGTGCAAACTCACATAAAATAAAAGCACATCACTTGGATGTTTCTTCTTTCAGGAAAGAAATTGCACGAACATAGTCCCAACGACCAAGAAAAGAAATTCATATATAATATTTGAGCAAGTGCAAGGTGATTACTATCATGGACTGCGGTTTCACCCAGATCGATAAGAAACAGGCGATACTTGGCAGTCCACGCATGAACTGGTACACGGACCACCCCGGTTTCAGGTGGTCCCGTCTGACCTATTAAAAACAAAACAAAACAAAAAAATTGTTGGTTTAAGCTCACTTTTGTAAGCCCTATTCTGGTACAAGCGGAGTCTGTGAGTCGCTGTTGTTGCATGTCGCCCATCATCGATTTCGGGTACACTTCCACCATCTCCTCCTCGTCCTCCACCGCTTCCTCTTCTTTCTTCCTCTTCCTCCTCCATCTTCATCTTCCTCATTCTTCCTCCGTTGCCTCTTCTTCTTCCCCCCCTCTTCCTTGTCCTTTTCTTTCTTCCTCTTCCTCCTTCCTCCTTCATCCTCTTCCTCCACCATATGTTCCTGTTCAAGTCTTTGACATATACCGATGTACCATATCAGTACATTAGTATCAGTTGGTGTCAGACCCGGAACTGGCATGAATGGTCAGTACGAGATGAAAATCGATGATTACCATAACGGCTTCCAATGGTAGAAACAAAATAGCCTTAGAAACCTGGTTTTAGATGATTTTGCAGTCTATAACTAAACGTAAAGATTAGGCATCAGAGCATTAGTGAAACCAAAAATTATCAAATGGATTCACACAGTTTATGTTCCGCAACTCAAATTGTCAGAATAAGAAAGACTAGGGTAAAATAATACATTCAACACGATAACTTATCAACATTCGACTCTATAATTCTTTCTCAAATGTGCTTCACACTTGTAGGAAAATCACAAACGTAATCTGTTAAATGCAGTATTAAAGGACACACATTATTTGATGTATTTTAGTTGGACTGTAAATTCTAGAATTACGACAAGAGAAGTTGATAAGTAATCCATGACACAGGTATGCTCTAAACAATCATATATGTAATCAGTAGATCCAAGATCGTCTTTTCTTTCTTCTAGTTTCCACATTTGTCAAAATTGTAGTGCAGAATGGATTCTCAAAAACATAATCAAATAGCTGATCCATGCTGTCCATAACATCACTTCTCACTACTAAATACCAGATGAAAAATATTCAAAGATCCAGATCATTCAGCACGATCTCCATAAAACAGGCCTCAACCAGATTTATTCTTGGATCTGGCTTCATAGTGGTCACATGCTGTTGCATGTCCAGAAACAACAACATACCACCGACATTTCACAGTTACAGAACGCTACATCATGACAAGGAAAACAACAACAACAACGAGATGACGAACAACTAACAGGAACCAAAGAAAATGCTTGGAGGAAATGGATAATTTAATGAGACGAGAACACGAACACGAACACGAAAAGATCGATCTCATTCACCTGCTCTAACTCCGGAAGCGCCGGCCTTCTTCAACCCCTTCTTCTTGACTATAAAACTGGCACCGATAAAGAAGCTCGAGGAGAGCGCGAGAACCAAACCCTTGATGTTATCGGAGGACATGCCGGTGTACGACTCGACCCAACTCCCCGCGGACGCCGTGTCGGCGGGCGCCATTCCGAGCTGGCTCAGAGAGATAAAAGAAAAAGAAACCCTAGCCGGGACCGGTCCCCCACTACCGCGAGTTACCCGCCGTCGGTTCCCGGAGACGGCCCGTGTCGGCGACGGCGCAGCTCATCCGCGGGCGGCGCCCCGCGCCGCTAGATCCGGTTGCAGGGGTGGCGGCTCATGCGACGGCGTTCGGAGGACGGCGGATCAATTGGGAGAGGTCGCGGCTCGGGCTGGAGGAGATCTGGCGGCAGTGTGTGGAGTCAAGTAGAGAGGCACTACCACAAGAAGAGGAGGGCAGAGGCCGAGAGAGAGAGAGAGAGAAAAGGATCGGATCGGAGGACGCGAGCGAAATAAGTCGATCGTCGATCGCCGACGGAAGAAATCGCAGTATAAAATAATTAATAATATTAAATATTCATTATTGTCACCGACAATAATAAAATATTATATATATTGAGAAGTTTACATATTAGTCCCTCATGTCATTTAATTAGCGCACGCGATTTCTCATATTTATGTCCCTAAAAGAATTAATTATTCCCAACCTTTTATGTCCTCAATTCTTTTACCACACGAATGATTAGAAGAAGAAAGTGGATGGATAGAGCATGTGGTGGTCAAATTATGACGACGTACACTAATAATATGATCTAAGGTATTTACTGGTAACATTAAAAGATATTGGGCATTGACTTTTCACGACATTGTTGATACTTGGAATCTCTCACATTAAACGATCATGGAAACGCTGATACAGAGGAGGCATCTTTCTACTTAACTGAATAGTTGTAGAATAGTGTGAAAGAAATGATTAACTGAATTTATGTTTTAAGGATGAAAAATTCATAGAATCGGATCATACTAAGTTTTATATATTATTTTCATAATAAAATATTATATTTTTCAGATATTATTGTTGTTCGTCATTTCAAAATTTTTAAGGTTTAATTAATAGTAGAAGACTTAAATTTTTGAGATTATTTTATAAAAATAAAAAAAAATTATTTATTTATTTATTTTAAAGACTTGATTTTTTAGATCTAGTAACCATTCATATGAATTAGTGAAGGATTAATAACATATCCAAGACGTATTGGATAAAAAGAATTTAAAATATAAAATATTAAAACTAAATTTTATTATGATTTTTTTTTATGTGTAATACTCTCATGAGGCAGCTAGATGAATGAAATAAACTATTATCCATTGTCCATTATTGAGGAAGGACCCAATGAGTTACGATTGGATAAAATGTTTAGATTAATGAGAGTGACTCAATTAATAAAGTTAGTTTAGGTAAAAAAAGTGTTTAAGTGATTTACGAGGAAAAACAAATTCCATAGAGAAATAAAAATTTGTTTGGGTGATTGGATCAAAATATTTTGGTTAGTAAAAGGACAAGGTAAAAATCAAAACGAGTCAGAACGCCGTTGCCGGGGATCGAACCCGCGTCACCCGCGTGACAGGCGGGAATACTCACCACTATACTACAACGACTTAATGACGACGTTTTATGATCCTAGTTTATCTAGTATTATATGAAGGGTGAGAAAATAAGAAATTCTATTGATTTCGAAAAAAAAAGATGTTTTTGAAATTTACTATTATTATCAAAGTAAAATGAAATAATAGATCATTAGAGAAACTTTTCAATGATAAGTTTAAACCTAGAAGAATAATGAATACTTTATTTTTTACTTCATGAGAAATAACTGCATATACTTTGTGAAATAATCGATAAAAAATAAGATAATAATTAAATTGATCATAAGATTGTATTAATGAAGGCCTCCAAACATCAGAATATATAACTTTAAGAGATAAATTACTTATAAGAGAGGAGGTAAAAAATAAAAGCTTATGCATTTTATTATATTTATATAAATTACATAAAAAGGGATGATAAGATAAAAATGATAAAGAAAAATTATAAAATTAAATAATATGATTTAGAACCTTAAGTGATTATGTTATTCTTGAAATGGAATTAGATAGAGATGGTACAATAGTGGCCACACAAACTTTGTTTATTCAACTCCTCCATGAGAAACATTATTAGAAGAATATAATTTAGTGATAAATATTATATTTCTTTTCATATCAGGAACAAAAAAATGATTTTGAAGAAGAGAAGTTTATAAAACTAGTATGAATTATTTTAGGACATTTACTATCACCTATTATGATATCATCTGAATCATTATAATCTAAATAAAAAAATATATTATTCAAGTCAAATGTAACATAAGTCTCAGAATTAACAAGTCAATTTGATAAATGTTGAAAGGATTAAGCAATATAGTGAGCATATGATGGTGATAACGAAAGTTGTGATGCAAGATATGTAAAATAAAGTGAGTCTAAAGGCATTCATGAAATAGTAACTTGTAAGCAATAACATTTCTTAGCAATTTAGCCTTGCATGTCACCTATTTGACATGTGGCATTATTATTGAATTATTTTTTGAATTTGTTGATGCTTTTGTTGTAGAATTGACAACTTCAAAATTATTTTCTATAATCATTCGTGGAGGATAAGTGTTGGTGTCATCTACATGACCTATAAATTCATAATTGATTAAAAGAGAATAAAAGTATAATATATCAAGAGGTATAATTTGTGGACATGAATTTAAGAGGAGTTTGGGTTGTAATATTATTGGAGACAAGAGTACTTTAAAAAATAAATGAGTTGAGAATAATATGAGATGAGTAATTAGTTAAAAAAAATATAGTGAAAAAATAAACTCAAAGCAACTTATAAAAACCAGAGATTTGCTAGAACGTAAAACTCAATAGAAATTGTAATACTACCTTCAGCCATAATGAAGGAGATATAAAGCAACAATAGTAAGAGGTTCAAAGAAAAAAAAAAAACGTCGGAGAATATATTATTCTAATACTATGAAAGAAACAATTAACTTAAATTTTTAATGATAATGAATATGAATTTATATACATTAAAGAGATATTACAATACATGATAATTATATGAGTTTTTCAATCAATAATAATATAAAATATTCATCTAAATAATTTCATAATAGATCTTATGATTTTTTTCACTAATAATCAACATAAAATATTTATCTAAATCATCTCAGAATATAAAAAATCATGTTGAAATCATGATCCTTATTATTTAATAAAATTAAAATTATATATTATAATAATTTTTATAATTTAAATTTATAATAATATATTATCAAAATATTAAGAAGATCATGATATTCTTATCATGATTTATTTATTTATTTAATAATATTCTTTCAAATATAATGACTGAGACATGCATTTCCATTTAAAAGGTGATGATAAAGAGAATACTGGTCCCATTCCAAGCCTATGATAAGGTCAGGTCATAATACGTTAAGGAGTCTCAGCCAATACATTAACACACTTAGCAGCAGATCCAGATTCCCAGGATGGTATGACTCATCTGCACTCGTTCATTTGCAGCTGAACAATAACAAAAGAGCTGACATAAATACACCAGACACAAGTCCTTGAATCCTAAACTCAAACTTACCCCATAATTGTTGGAAGCAACAGTAGAGAGATGAGTTAAGATGACCCCAAGAAATGGCATTATTTGAGGTTTCTGCCCATTGGAGCTTTAGTGCAATTTGAATGAGAGAAGATAGTTTCATCCTGAGAGAATTCGATCCAAACCATCTATTGAACAGGAAAATGACAGAAACCAGGCATTGCAGGCTGATAACTTGAGAAATGCAAAAACCAGGATCAGAAAATGAAGTCCCGAAGATGCACGTTTTATTACTCAAGAGACAATTTTGGTCATACACGACAAAAGGGAAAACAGATCACAAGATCAGACAATTTGGTGAGATACAAGATCCTATAATTCCAGCCAGTCAGCCACCACCAATTGGGACCGGTATTGTATCCTGCAGTAAGAGAATCACATCACAACATTCAGTCCATGATGCAACCAGTTCACAAGAAAGAAGCAACGATCTAGCTTGAACTCGTGTCTTTAAGGGTAAGCTGAGCTTGCACAACAGAGTTAGGAGCATTTGAAGCTTTTATGGAGATACAGGAGAATGTCTAAGAGCAACGGGCAATTGTGCTGGAGGCAATGAAGGGGTTCCGGTGCCAGTGTGAGCAGAGTAGTGAGGGAGAGAGGAGGTATTGTAAGCAACAGTAAAATATCAGAAGGTTACCATGGGAGAAACAAGTTAGTGTTAGGTTAAAAGCCCTAAATCATATATAGGGTCACACACTATCAGCTATCAGATGTAAATCTAATGAATGACGTAAGTACAAAAGTTACAAACCATTAGATTTAGGTCAATCTGAATAATATTCCATAATATATGAAAAACAAAAAAAAATGCTATATGATATCTATACTAATTGAGTGTTGGCAAGCCTAACATGTACGAACAAAGCTTGTACTTTGTTTGAGCTCGACTAAGTTGCTCATGAAGGAGCTAACCTCGAGTTTCACAACCAACAGACTCACAAATGCTCCCAGCTGCACCTCACAAACAGCCTACCAAATTAGGATAGATGGCCTTTATGACTTGGCTCAGACGATGACTACGTTGAGGTCAAGGTGGTTTAAGGTCAGAACCAGTCCAACAAATCCCAAGATTATCTAAGTTAGATTGGATAAAGCGACACAAGTTTAACAATGCATGAAACAACTAGCCCTACTCGTTTCCCTTGCTTCACAAGCTTAATATAAAACCAAACTAGTTGTTAAAGCTTGGATATAGTAACTTTCAACATATTGTTCTCCCTTCTCAACTAAGACATATATTGCTTTTGAGAATCATAAAGACAAGAAAAAAAGCTCTAGAAAACAAAAGAATTACTTTAACTTGCAAACAAATAACTATCAATAAATCTAGAAATAACATACAAAAGGAAGGCTGGAAGAACACCTTGATCATAGCTCATCTTTTACAGAATCAGGTGAGCCAGGTTGACTAATAACATCCTTATTGTTGTTCACAAAGTTAATAAAGTCCTCTACCGTTCTGTTCCCCTCATACTGTGAAATTTTGCCACTGGCAGAAACAAAATACAATGTTGGATAACCCTGAACAGCAAATTCATCTGGAACATCGTTCTTGGTAGCATCCTACATTTCAAACAAAACAGAAAAAACAGAATGCAAATTAGATATGTATAAGAAAGAAAATAACTTATCTCCTGATGGTTGTCAAACATTACATCATGATGTAACAAAAGAAAAGAAATTTTAATCTACAAGGATCTTACCATAAGAAAAATAATAAACAGAAAAGGAATGCCGCACCAAAGAATTTGGTGACTGATGCTATGTATACATAAATATGCTCCATAAAAATAATCTAATATGTAGAAAACTCTAAATTTGATTTCTGAAGATGGAACACATCTATGGAGTGTAGCTACTTAAGCTGCATATATGGTGCTTGAGATCCATCCATTACAGGCTTCAAATAATCATAAATATTTTTAAGTAGACTTGGTCATGCTTGGCCAAGCTGCATGTATGCTTGAACATGCTCCATAGACTTGGTCATGAAAGATGCAACACGCTATAGTTGGAAAGAGCTACAGTGAATTTTAACTATTACAGAAATTTCCTACATAGACAGCATAGGACACAGCTAATTTTGTTAAGATCAATTAATGGTGCAAATTAAATACATATATACTAAGAATGGTAAAGTGTAAATCATTAAACAACCATTAACTACACTAATATATGTGAGCTGTCACTATAGTGTTTCACTTGAAATGGCCTGAGATTAGGTAGATCATATTTTTAAACTCTGATGCCAATTTATTCCTAAAAGCTGTGGATCAGATCTGACAGTCAATCCATGTTTCTCATGTTATTGCTGATTGTAATTATTAAATAGGTCCAATGACCACAATTTATATGATTCAACTATTGTCCAATGAATATTGAAATTCTAACAAGATCATAATGGATAAACAAATGGGAGAAAAATGTACCACTATGATAAGCATTACCCAGAAGCATACACAAACAAAGGAGATTCCATATACAAATGAAAAGTTAACCTAATTCAAGCAAGTTAGTTCTTAACCTTTATTTGTCATCATTATTTCAGACTTAAAATTGAACTCAAATTAAGAATGGTCATGAACAAATCATGGGGTGACGATCATAGAACCTAGTTTAAAATTTCTTTATTATTCAACTTCTGATTTCTTTTTAGGTGTCTCTTTTCCTAATTGATAAATTGGAATCAAGATCTGAACGTCTAATCTGCCCAATCTTATCTGATTCCAATCCATAGTTCCATAGCCATCTCTAGAACCAGTCTCTATTAAAATCGTGCAAAAGTGCTTCCAACTTTTATTTGATGGATGGATATCCAAATGGAATGGTTTTGCGATTTTGTTTCTTATATGCGCATGCATTGGAGAAATTATAAGACTGAAAAACTAATGTGCCTGATTGTATCTGATTCCAATCCAAATGGATTCTTTTCCAAGAGACATAATTTTGTTTCTTGTACGCACATGCATTGAAGAATTTTATATGGCCAAAGAATAAAGGACATGAAATGAATGTGTGTGTGTGTGTGTATATATATCCTTGCAAGGGAAAAAGGAAGTAGGCAGTGAATGATTATCACTTTCCATGATCATGTCAGCAAGTCCATAATCCTTAAATCAAAAACAGATCATCTTAAGAAAAAAGTTACCATCTTTGCAATGATCACATCTGCATCATTTTCAAATGAGATAGCTACTTCTTCTAAGATTGGTGCAAGTTTCTTGCAATGTCCACACCAAGGTGCATAAAATTCAAGCAGAACTACAAGAGTCAATAATGATACCATTAGAAAAGTAACAATTCATAAGTTAAAGTAAATAACATATTTATAGGAAAATAAAGCACACAATTGGTTGTACAAAAAAACAAGACAGATTGACCTTTAGAAAAAGCTTAAAGTTTCTGATGGATCCAAAATCACCAGTTGTAACCACCCAAGGCTTGTATTGTCAAGCAAAAGGTGATATCCACAGCGAGTGTCTGATTTAGATTTTAGGCTTCTCGTTTGTGACAATGATCAATGAAAAAAACTTCAATGCAACATTTGAGAATTCCCTTCCAGAGGGTTTGAACATTATGTGTAAAATTTAGGAAAAAATGCATTCTTTAAGGTGAATGCTTAGCCTTCAAGATAGAAAATTACAATTTCTGTACAAGGTAAAGCAATTTTCTCTATGTGGAAAACAGTACTAGTTATTTCCCTAGACATTCAATTTTATAATTAATTTACAATTTTCTTAGTTCAAATCTTTAAAAGTTTCTATAGGTTTTGCAAATTTTCCTTGTGTTCTGTTAATCACAAGGTAAAAAATGTCACTACCCAAAGTATGTGTTGGACCATGATTCAGGCACTAAGAGGTTTTCTTAATGGCAGATGGTAAGACAATTGTTTCCAAACTCTTGCATCAATCCCTATAAATCTTTTCTTATTTGCATCTCTGTTAGATGTGTATCTGAAAGTCAGTAACTTCTATCACATGGTTTAAATGTTGGCTAGGACCTATTTAGTGGTATGTTTTATGGAAATTTCTTACTCATCTCTTTTTGGTTTCACAAAATCAATTTATGAATGTATAAATCATTTGTTACAAATTGCATTACTTCTATGAATCTCCATACTAATTTATGAATATACAAAGTATGATTCTCATGTCCATGTTCAGGCAACACTGGCCACATTAAGAATGTTCCTAGCTTATGAAAATGCAATTCTATCACCATGAGGTCCATCAAATTGTTTTTGTTATATTCAGTGGACGAATATTCCAACCCATGCTTACATTTTCAGTGCCCTCATTCATCACATGACATAGCAAAAAGGATAAATTCATGATCCAGAAGTTATAATAGAACTAAACAAATTAGTTACCACCATAAAAATTTCAAACTAAACCCTGTATTTAAGGATTTGAAGATCACAAACCATTCTTCCCAGAGCTGAACACTATTTCCTGGAGACTTTTGGCCACCACAATCTTAACTGGTTCATTATTAACTTCAGGAACTGACTCTGATTTACGATATGGTTCTAGGCCACCAACCTGCACATAGAGACAGGCAAGTTAGATGACAGCAAAGAGGTTGAAGAAACTTACAGCAATGGGATAAACATTTAACATGTAAAAAAATTGATATGCTAACAACAATAGCCGGGCAACCTCTTGGTTGCCAATCATGAATATGGCCAAACAAGTTTGCATCAATTGGTATGGATCGTATTCTGATAAGGGTTGTAATATAATGATGTTGTGAAATAAGAAAACAACAACTGACAAGTTGGAATTCTGTTAGGATGAGAGAGTGAGTGCATGCAGATTGTGATATTACATCACAAGAAAACAAGATACAATTATGCTAAGAGAACATACTGCATAGTCCTTCAGCCATGTTGCAATCTGCTCGGGTGTAACATTTGGTTGAAAATATTTGTGGCCCTTGCTATCTTGTATGATTATAAGAGGAGCCTGATCCTTTTCTAGGCCAAAGAACTGTAGATTTTTACCACAGGCAAAGTATTTGTTAAGAATACCATGGAAAAGGTGGAATCCAAGATAAGAAAGTGAAAAAAGAAAAAAAAAAGAAAAGGGAATAACCTTCAAGGCCATTTCACTTGCATCAAGGTCCCCGATCAGAAATTTTATATTATCCCCCTTGTAGTCCTTCGCAACCTCATGTAACTTGGACTTGAAAGTGTTATAATTGTCACTGCTGAAGTTGAAGAAGAGCATAGCCTATGCATTTCCAGATTTCCAACAGAAATAGGACAACACCAGAGAACAAAATATGGGATAAGATGGCATCACATTGATAAAAAAATATAAGGCACTATGTTTTGAATTCTGATGCAGGCACTAAGCTGTACACACAAATTAATAGGCAAATGCTAAGTACATTTTAAGATTTGTGGAAGAACAGTCTTCTAGTGCATCATGGTCAATATATAATAATAATAATAATAATAATAATAATAATAATAATAATAATAGAATATGACCACCTTTGTAAAAACAGGCATCCTGAGATCATTACATTTCATGAAGTTTCAACCCATGTCAGTATTTCCAAGCACCAAGAAACAGGGTAACAAGTAGTTATATTAAAGAGGCCAACTAAAACCAAAGGAAAATGCTTTTGGTAAGAGATATTTTATCATATAGTGAACACAATCAATAAACACAAAGAAAAAAGGGAAACCTTCCAACTATTTGAACACAAAAGAAAATTTTGCACAGTTAGCACAGATATCAAAGTTCATGAAACTGGTAAAAATGATATTAGGTGCATTACTGTTTGAAAATAGTGTAATGTACATTTTCATGATCAGCAAGTATTTGACAAATGTGTTATATTTGAACCATCACAAGAATAAAGCATTTCTAAAATTGCATAATAGGCATTTCCCTCAGGAGCATATGCAACCAATTCAGAGCAAATCATGATGGGTGAATAATAATCTGCTTGTGTGGTGAAACCACGAAACAACTACATCCATGACTAAGGTGATTGCCATAATCCTCAGCTTCATTGATACTATAAATAGCAATATGGAATACACATCAAATGATAAAGTTCTACTGCATCAGTTTAATGTATGAGGTAACAAAAATAAATCATAAGGCATTACTTACTTTGGCATTGGGACTGTCAAAGAACTTAACAAGGAAAGGGTGGTTGGTCGGATCATTATCATAAGTAGTAACGATTGGCATACTTTCAGATTCAATGAATTTCTCTATAGCATCAGCCTGAAAGTCCTGCGGGGTATCACAGATATTACTCCATCAGCACTTGAATGCACTAAACTCTAGCATGAAAATAATGCAAGGAAATTGTTCATATCACAAAAGTTTTATTTTTCTAAACAGATTTGCAGGTATCTTCAAGGCAAAAAGAACATTGAAAATGAAACTACAGTTTCTTAAAGGTACCTTGAAATCAACAAAAAGCTCGTCAAATGGCTTGAACAACCTAACTATTGGTTGTTTTACAGTTTCATCCCCATGTGGAAGGAGCTTTGCATTTGAGGTGTGACCAAAATCATAGTCCGATCGTAACTTTTCAGCAACTTTAATAAAAGTTTCAAATTCCTCCCCAGAGAATTGAGGGAATATCCCCACCTATGTGATGTGAAACAAGTTTGAGACATGGTAGTAATTGCAGAAAGTGAAGGGAGAAAAAAGTTAAGAATATGTCTTACAATAGAGATTTTCTTATCAACAATCACTTTATCAACATCCTCAGTAGATTTAATTTCAGTCGATGCAGGGCCAACTTGCTTACTTAAGTATTCAACTATACCATCAGCTTCCCGAGGACCTTTATACTCTTGAATGTCCTCCCCTCCATTCCTGAAAATCTTGAGCGTGGGAAAGCCCCTGACCTCATATTTTGAGGCAATTTCCTTGTTTACATTTTCATTACAGTCAATCTTAGCCAAAGCAATGGGAGGATCATTTTCACTTAATACCAATGCAGCCTTCTCATACTACAAGGAGAAAATTAAAAGATTTAATGAACATGGAACATTAATATTCACTGCATTAGTTACATAACCAATTATTATTAGTCAACACTTAAATCGCCTGAAAACTATTACCTCAGGAGCAAGTTTCTTGCAGTGCCCACACCTGCCAACAGAAAGTTTATTATCAGTGACAAAATGTTGGTTTAATATTGAAGAAGCATCCCCATGAGAATCTCCCATTGGTGCATATCCAACTTGTATTATAGAAAAGCTTTATAGAATAACTTGAATATGTGTTGTACAGCATCCTGGTCCAACCTAATAAGCACAGTGATGCCACATCATGTAAATATTTACTACAAAGTTATTAGAATCATTACCTTATTACACTGACAAACACAATAGTTCCTAGATGACTTGAAAAAAAAGTGTGAGGTTTGCTTGTCAAGATAAAGTTGTCCGTTTGTGACCTAAATGCAGCCTTTCTACAAATATATAAATCCTCCCCTAGTCTATGCATTAGTATCTTGCACAGGGTCAACCGCCCGGCCCATAAGAATTTACTAGGAACAAAATTTGTGCCATGTGTAAGGTACAAAAATAATCCATCTAGCATACATAACAAATAGATAAATCATAGTTCTCAATTCCCACATGTCCACAACAAACACCTCGATAAACCGAGCCATTTAAGAGTAGTATCAAACTGAAGCTTAAGTGTCTGATGAATTCTTTGTTTTCCTGAAGAAGATGATAATATAAATAATAGCATTCATGACAAAATTTACATATTAAACTGAGGTAGATACCATCGTCTGAGATCAAATTTGCTAAAATCACCACCAAAGTGTTTGGCCAACCCAAGAAACGGTATCAACAAGTGCTAAAATATCGATATTTTCTTTAGGCCTGTGCTACTGAAAATCGGAAATGCGAGGTTGTATTTGCAATCCGAGTGCTACTGAAGGTCTTTAGCCTAAAGACTTAGTATTCGCATGGCACTCAAATATTCCTTCATCCAAAGATCATCGCCCTCGCAAAACTCAAGAACGACCAAGAAACAGAGACGAGCAAGGAAACAACAAAGAAGGGCAGTTGATGATACCAGGGAGCGTAGAACTCGACGACGATGAAGTCGTGCTTGGAGACGGTCTCGGAGAAGTTGGAGGCGTCGAGTGTGATGACGAAGGAAGGCTCGGCCACCGCCTCCGGGTCGGTATCCGGCTCCTTCACTTCTCCGTCGTTGCCCTCCGCTGCGGAGGGCGGAAGGGAGGAGGAGAGCACCAGGAGGGCGAGGAAGGCTGCCGTGATCCAAGAACTTGAAATGGCCATTGGAGATAGCGAGACCGATATACCTCTCTCTCTCTCTCTCTCGCTTCGTCGCCCTTCGGAAGGTGTCTTCGCGCGGACTCGGCTTATACTGGAGAGCGGTCCGTTTCTAGAAGATCAGCTGAATCTCAACGAACGGGAGAACGTTCACGAATTGCATATGGTTCGTTCATCATCATGGGTCCCATCTGTTATTCGAACTACAACCGTTGGATCGAGGTTGGGGGCGCGCGTAACGGGAAGGGAAACGAATCATGGCGTATCTTCGAGTGCAGTGCATCAAACCGCGACGGGATTTTCCCTTCCATTTCCGTGTGCTACGTGGTGCGATTTCATTGGCTGAATTACGTGTCAGGGAGACCGGGAATGGGACAGGGACGCGACTGCGTTCATCGTCCGTGGACGAGACTGCGACGATTTCATTTCCCTTCCAAATTCCCGCGCGACGTGTCCCCAAAAGGCAACGCCTCCTGTATCGTGACATGGATCGTGGACGGTATCCTTGAACGGATAGAAATTTTGGTTCAAGGAACGTTGCACTTAGCCATCTACCCGTTTTACCTACCGGCGATGTTTCACCGTCCTAATGTGGTGCTACCGTGACATGTCGGGGGAGCGTGGCGTGTGTAAACATTATCCACTTTTTGGTTTTTGGTAGGCGTAAGATTGGTTGATCAAAATGTGACACTAATCTTCGTAGCGTCGGATATGCCACATACAAGTAGCTGAGCAGTTGTAGTTACAAAACAACGATTGGGAATACCTCCAAGGCGCCATTTTGGGAGGAGATGAGCTCTTGGTTGGACTGCACTCATCAAACAAACCCCAGAAAAAAAATATATGTTTTTTGAGTGTTTTTAGAAAAATAATGTTTACCTGAGCGATTTTTTTTTTTTTTTTCTCTTGAAGTGTAAACTGTATCTAAACCTCAATAGAAAACAGAAGAATATGGATAGCCAAAGATGAGGTCGAGAACAAAGAGAAGAGACAAGAACTAGACAAGCTTGGCGAAAGGAGTAGAGAATGAGGAGATATAGTTTGAGCTTTGTTGTATTGTTGTTTATTTATGTAATGAAATTAATTCAGAGAAAATTCTCCATTTTGCTTAAAGAAGAGATAGGCGCAATGTTGATGAGGCAAAAAGAGCTTTATATATGCTTTTTGTTGATTGTTCTTTGGATGCTAATGCGTGCTAATCTAAAAGATGTGATGTGTGAGAACATTTGCGTTATTGAGAGGAGATTATAATATACTTTGTGGATTCTTGTTTTATATGCTCAAATTTCATATTTGGCCTCATTTATTTGTGTTTTCGAGATAGACAGGGGGCCTCGCTACAATCGGAAAGGTGGATACGATTATTTTGGCATCACAGCTCGAAGAACATCCGAAGGTAGGTGCTATATAGTGTTATAATTCGAGATAGACAGGTGCTATACAGCGTTCCACATGCATCATGCAGATCATAGCATACACACAACAGTGTATTATTGAAGCACCAACATTAGAATGCCGAAAGGTCGATACAAGTGTTTAAGCATCACAGTTTGAGGAACATTGTGGTATCGTTCGATGGGCTTATGATAATGCTCACGTTCGGAGTTCATATGCATCATTTACGTCATAGCATGCACGCAACAAGTTATTACTAGTTTCCTTTTCTAAGCACCCCATGGTTTAGCAACAAGATGAAGCCGTCCTTGTCGTTGTATTGTGGTTCCAGGGGCCTCGTTCATTTGCAGCTCCTCCCTCGTCAATCCACCAGGCAGCTCCCAGTCGAAGCGGCTCACCAGGTTCGCCAGCGCCAGCTCCAGAGCAGCGACGGCGAAGTTTTGCCCGGGGCAAATCCTTCGGCCTGCTCCGAACGGCACGTACCGGACATCGTTGCCCGTGAAGTCCAATGCGCCGTCCGCGAACCTCTCCGGCCGGAACTCCTCCGGCGACTCCCAGCTCCGCGGGTCTCTGCCCATCGCCCACGCGTTCACGAAGACGCGCGCCTTCTTGGGGATGCTGTACCCTTGTATGCTGCAATCCTCCAGCAGCTCGCGCGGGACCAGCAACGGGGCAGGAGGGTGCAGCCGGAGGACCTCCTTCACGACCGCTTTCAGGTACGCCATCTGGCTCACCTCCTCCTCTCTGACCAATCCCTCCCCGCTGCCTCTTCCTCTTCTCACTTCGTCTTGTAATTTCCGCATCGCTCGGGGACTCCGGATGAGCTCCGCCATGGCCCATTCCAGGGTTATGTACGATGTGTCGGTGCCGGCGCCGAACATGTCCTGCACAAGTTGGTATAGGGTAAGGGGGGTGAACTTTGGATCAGCGGAAATAGTCGTCAAGCCATCGACGTTTGACAGTGCCACAATGGGACAAAATATCATCGTTTGTTTTCTCGCTCCTGAGAAAGGAGGAACGGTCAGAGTACATGTCGTCCATCGATTTCAGAGATGGTGGATCGCGAAGAGACAGATGTCAGGGACGAGGCAGAAACTCGCGACGCTCACAGTGGCGGTTTGACTTGCCTTTCCTGGGAAGTTGCCGTCTCGGCGTACCAATTAGATTGGATACGCCATGAAAGCGGATCGAATTAGTCGATCCGTGGTTGGGCCGGGTTGGTAATTTCGATTTTGACCAACCGATTCGAAGCGCAGCCAGGACCATGAGAGAGAGAGAGAGAAGCGTACCACCAGAAGTGCCTTGATATCTTCAGTTGTGAGGGCGAAGTCCATCGCTGCATCTTTCTGCAGAGAGAGCAGAACATCCACGAAATCCTTCTCCTCACCGTCGTTTTCCTCCCCACCATGCTGCACCGACCGAACTGCATGTTCCTTAATCACCTCATCTAGCAACTTATCCCACCTCGCTTTGTTCTTGTTGCATCTGGCCACACTGCCGAAGAACATATCCAGCCACCCCAGCCACGGGATGTAGTCACCCACGAAGATCTTGGACGTAAGCGCCGAGTTCTCGCCGACCAGCTCGGAGAACAGGCGATTCCTCCCTTCTTCTCTCGTGAACTTCCCTGAAACAACTCGACAGAGTACATCGTTGGTGAAAGAGTACAAGACCTCGGATAAGTCGATGACGTTCGCCGAAGCCGAAGCCTGGGACGAGATCTTTCCCATCATGGATTCCACCTCCTCCTCCCTCATTAGCCTGTACGACTGCACCCTCTTGGGGCTCAGCAGGTGGACGGAGCAGATCTTTCGGAGCTGCTTCCAGTAGTCGCCGTAGGGCGCGAAGGCCAAGTCCTTGCACCCGTACAAGAGGATTCGGGCCGCCTTGAGAGCTGGCCGGCCGGCGCATGCGCGGTCCTGGTTGCGCAGCACCTCCCTGGCTGCGTCCGGCGAGGAGACCACGAGCACCGGCACCTGGCCCAGGCGAAGCAGCATGAGCGGGCCGTGTTGCTGCGACAGGGCGTGGAGGGAGCGGTGCGGTAGTGGGCCCAGCTGGTGGAGGTTGCCGATGAGGGGAAGCCCCGGCGGGCACGGGGGATGCCCACGGGAGTTCCTCTTGACCTGCAGCAGAAGCAGCAGCAAAGAGAGAGGCACGAGTATGATGAAGAGGGTGGTGAGTAGAGATGGGTCGAGCGGCCCCGTCGGCAGGGTGGAAGACATCATCGCCTGTGGCCGCTGGTCTTCTCTCGTGCCCTTCTCATCCCCCTCATGTGCACGGGTTATATAGGAAACGAAAGAGAACAATTGAAGCACGCAAGTATTGCTTCCAGCCAAAAAAAACACCACACAGGAGAATAAGTGGAACGGTGTTACGTGAAACCCTATCGTTAAGGGTACATTTTTTTGCTATTGTTAAGAGTATATTTTGATTGTTCGAACAGAAACCTACTTAGAACCGATATGCTTCCTTTTTGAGTTTAGTTCAAAGGTAGAATTTATCGAGTTAGACATTCAAAACTTATAAAACTAAGTGGGCGCATTCCTGATAATGCACCTCATATGCTAAAGTTAGAAGTCTTGTTGAACGTGTCATACTTTAGTTGTTCAATATATCTTTGGTGAACTCATGTAACTCATTTTATAGCGACGTTATACAGTTTATTCAGTAATTAAGACGTGAAAATTGATCATAATCATCCTTGCTAATCTCGAGCTGTTATATAAGTTTGTCTATCGAGTAGAACTACTATCAATTGATAACGGGCTGTTATGTTTATTTATTCGACTAATTAAGTGACTGATTAAGTTAGGAATTCTAGTTTTAGGGAATGATTAGGTTTTAGACCAATAGCAAGAGAGGTGCTTCAAACACTACCTAGGCTCGAGGTGGGAAAGACTCGACTATTATATTAGGAAGACTTAGCTACTAGGAAGACTCAAATGTAAGTGGGGTCTTATGAGCTAAGTACAAAAAGATAGAGAGCAATGATTTGGACTATTCCAATCAAAACCTACATTTGTTGGATTAGGGTATAAAGTTGTGCGAGCTGTGGGAGATGATTGGGTGAAGGTTGATTATTAAAAAAGTCATAAAAAAAATTAAAGATTTGACATGGAAAGAGGATTCGAACCAACCAACACCCTTAATGGTCTCTGATTCGAGGTTATCGAAAATGAGGGTTCGATAATGGAGCATTCAAGATTATCAAAGTTAGTTCATCGACGTTAGGGGGATTTAGATCTTTCTGAGTTATCCGAGATGGACCTATAAAGTTTTCTTGAGATACACTAGTCAACCCTCCTCGCTAAAGTTATAGTAGATTTTGATTGTCCAAACTAAAAGTTAGCTTGAATCCAATTTGATCTTTCTTTAAAGTAGAATTTGCTAAGTCGAACATCCCAGACTTACAAAACTAAGTTGGAAGTATTCTAAGTCAGAAGCCTACTCTAATAGGTCAAACTTAAGTTGCTCAATGCGTCTTGGGAGGTACTACTCTAACGGGTCAAACTTGAGTTGCTCAATGTGTCTTGGGCATTACGTCTATGACCCCTATTGTAGCAGACATATGAGGGAAAGACATTACACTCTCTATTGAGCAACAAATATGCGAAAACCAATTATAACCGCCCTTACCTGAATCATTGTACCCATTTATTACATCAATTAAACCGACCATCGATTAATAATGAACCATTATGCCTGTTTGATCAACCACGTGTCAGCTAGTAGCTTAACACATGGAAGGGACCCATGCTGAACACAAAGGGACAATGATAACATCCAGTACTGATGGGTTAGTACTCAACAAAAGTTTTCTGAAGATGCAATCTAAGCAAGCTACCAAAACAGCAGCTCTCAATATAAACAATATCTTCTCATCATTTGAAAACCAGTTATTTTCCGCTATGAGGGCTCAACTCATGAAATCGGTGCAATTTGTTTCTGCACTGTCGCAAGACACATTGTCTCGATCATCGATCATTGGAAGGCACATTACATTTATACCAAAATGTGATTTCCCTGAATGCATGTTAACGATGTCTCAGGATTGAACCTGTGCTTTAAGAGGCGTAGAAAAAAGATAAACAAATCTTTCTGTGTACAAAGAATGCAGGCTTTGTCTTTGTATAGTAAATCATGATGTAGAGACTAAGATTGACTTATAAAGATCTGATGAGTATATTATTATTAATTTTAACTTAAACATTATAATCAGTCTGAATAGGATAGACCACATTTGTTATGACAGACCATAGGAACTACAGGTGAGATTTTACAATACTTGCACTGATTGATATCAATCTTAGGCCTTCCGTCAGTTTAAATTAATTACAATTTTCATAAAGTCAGGACATATTATCCTTCTCAACTCAAGAAATGCTGACAGTGGTAATCTAGTCATGCACAAGGGACAACAAATTGATGACCTTTTCAATTCTACCAATTCTGTTGTTCCCTTCCTTCAACTTAGGACTTTGAGTTGGAGACTTGGTTGACAAGTATCGACCATCTTGGTTGACAAGTAAGACTAATAACTATGATGACCAACTTTGAACCTTCCTCTTTATCAAAGTAGATGGCGTCATCTTCTTCGTTGCTCCTTTGGTGCTCGTTTGCTATCTTGCAGCAGCTGCAATTATGTTGTGCCACTCAAAAACACAGTCTTCCTGTATCATCAGCTTTTGACGCCGTCTCTGCCATCCTTCACGTACTCCTAGGTGGTGGACCAAGTGAAAGATACAAAGTGACAAGGGTAGCCCAGAAGCCAACCCTTTGGACCACAGCTACCACACAAAGCGTAGAAAAACTCTCAAGTGTCATCTTTCGTTTGGTAATCATTTGTTAAGTGACAAGAAGATAGAAGGCTCGTAATGACTGCTGTAATAGCCAGCCAATATAGTTTCCAACATTTTATGCCTAAGCGTCATCTTTTTCCATCTTAAAGACGTAGCTATTGGCACAAAACAAGCTCTCTCCAAACGTTGCCTGTGTGACATCTCCATTTAGTGGACCAACGTGGGGCTCAAGTATTACGTTAGTGTACAACATGCCCAAGTCTGACTCGATCGTTGTCGATACCTGCTTGGCTTGGCCACCAAGTAACAACATCATCACTCATGCGGTTCGTGACGGCTTGCTCAACTTCTCCCACTCGTTCAGTCCTCACGCGCATGCATTTCCGTGTCAGGATCGGAGATCTCTGGGTTGAATTCTATATTTCCTATTATCTTAATGAATAAAATCTATTCCCTGATGTGTAAAGCCACCGTCTCGGTTGACCCCAATTTACGCTTAACGGATAATTATATATTATCTTCTATAATTAATTATATTTAATATTTTTATCATTATAATTTTAAAAATTATAATATATTAAATAATAAAATATTTATAGTCAAAAGATTTATTACTAATAATTCTAATTCAAATTATCTTTTATTATTATTATTATTTCAGTTATTGAGCTATGTGAAATGTGTTGGATCTTTGATTATATGTCTTGAGCATCTAAGATATTAATTTTTTACTCCTAACTTTCGATTGTAGTCATATGTTTTGACTTTGTGTCTCTCGTGGTTAGATTTATCAATCTTGTTCTTTTGATATAAATCGTTTATGGTTCATTTACGAATCTAAATTAATGTATGTGTCATAATTTTTTAGTAAATATTTATAAGTAAAATGATCATATCTATCAAAAAATTACACTTGACCTTAGGGGAAACATGTAATATTTGTACTTTAACAAATATAGTTAGCTTTTGTTGAGTATTACTTACAAAGTCGATTTATTCCTTTCTACGTATATGACATTTATTGGCAAGAATCATGTTTAGTGATTTGCTACCAATTTTAATTTTTTAATATTTTTTATAATAACGTATTTTTATTTTTTACTAAGTCTAACTTTTAACATTGAGTATAAGATGTTAATATATAATTATCATGCTCATTTTTAATTTTTTTAAATTCACTAAAAAGATAAGCATGATTCTTTTCTAGTATTTTATATTTCTTACTAACTAATTTCAAATCATTAAATAAATCATGAAAAAGTATTAAATAATTCATTGTAAGGTAAATGGGTTTTGGTTAAGTCATTTATCTCATCGTCAAAAGTAATCAAAGTGTAATTCACCACTTCGTCTTCATCGATTTGCTCCTCATCTTCGGATGTACTCGATTCATCTTAAAGTTACATTGAGTGCTTTATTTTTCTTATGATGTGAGAGTATCTTCTTTTTTAGTTGTAAAAATTCACTTTTGAGATGCCCCAGCCTTTTACATTTATAGCAAGTTATTATTTTTTTAAAGTTCATTTTTATTCTTAATTTCTTGTTTTATAAATTTTTTAAACTTTATTCTTTTTTTTTTTTTGCATTCTTAGTTCGTTCGAGTTGTCTTCTTTTATTCTAAATGTCAAATCATTCATGTTCTTCGAAAGGTTATTCTTATATTCATCATTTATCATACAAGTTACTTCATGGGTCATTAATAATCCTATGAGTTTTTCTAGAGGAAAACAGTTCAAGTCTTTTGTTTCTTGAATAGTTGTCACTTTTGGATCCCAATTTTTAGGAAGAGATTGTAACATTTTATTAACAAGTACAAGATTCGAAAAAAATTTACCAAATGTTTTCAAACTATTAATGATGTACATAAAACGAATGTATATGTCTCTAATGATTTTGCTTGATTTCATTTGAAATAATTCAAAATTATATATCAAAAGATTGATTTTAGACTCTTTTAACTCTACTTGTGCATTCATGTGTAACTTTGAGTGTATGTCAAATGTCATGTGGTATATAGAAACACAATTAAACTTATTTTTATTTAAAACATAAAATAAAATATTAGTGTTTAAGGAAAATAATTTTTTCTCAAAATCATTCCATTGAGGGTGTTTGGAAAATGATTCCCACACCTCCCACGTTGCTGTTAAGTTTGCTGAGCTTCTCACCAAGACTGACAGGCGGTCCGGTAAGGAACTTAGTAACCAAAGTTCTTAAAAGAACGGTGATGCTGGTTTTGTTAAGATGATTCCCTCCAAGCCCATGGTCATCGAAACCTTCTCCGAGTACCCACGTCCCGGTCGTTTTGCTGTGAGGGACATGAGGCAAACAGTCGCCGTGGGTGTTATCAAGGCCGTCGAGAAGAAGGATCCTACTCGTGCCAAGATCACCGAAGCTGCTGCCGAGAAGAAATGAGTTATGACATCAATGTGAGTGCGGCGTTGTGGCAGAATGTGGTTCCGAATTTTGCTTTGAATTGTTCTTAGTGTCAGGTCTTCTTTGTAGTGTAGTGGTTGCAAGTGTAATATGGACTTTTGATCATTTGATTTTGAGTCAGACATGTCGATTAATATTTTGAGAGACAATTGCTGTTGCATTAATGGATTGTATCGTTTGTATAACCTTGAAATCAGCAATACGAGCATCTGCGAAGATGTGGTGTAGTTGTATGAACACTTGTTCTCTCTGTATCCTGCAGCATGAAATGCGGCGACTTAACGTTCGTTTTCCTGAGAAGATGGCCAAATTTTGTTGGAATCTCATATACAATACGTCTCCCCTGAGATTCACAGTTTGCATTAATTGTCCTCTATTGGTAGGCTAGAGAAATAGCTTCTACGGGAGGCTTTCCGTGGCGAATGGCGCCGTCAAACAGTGCTCTAGCGACAGTAGCTAAAACAGGATCGCAAGCTACGTCAGGTGGAGGGTGTTGGTGGCGAAGGGAACGAAAGCAGAAGGCGTGGGTATGGTGAAAGCGTATAATAGGTGTGCAAAAGAGGTGTCCAACGTGGCACAATGCTGGGTGGTGATGACAGAGGCGGCTTGTATGACGATGATGAAGTTGAACAGGTTGGCAACGATGCCACGGAGGACGCACACAGAGTTATCACAAGATAGATGATGTGGCACTTGCTCTTGACGTCGATGATGAGCTAGCCATCGAAGATGATGATTCTATGAGAGGATCATCATGGAGGCAAAAGCCAAGACTGTTTCCTGAAGGGGGAGGGGAGAAAATGATGACGTGGCACTTGCTATTGACGCCTATGATGAGCTGGCCAATGAAGATGCTGATATGATGAGAAGATCGAACTCAAAATTTTGCTGTCTCACAGGTAAATACTCGACAAATAAAAATAAAAGACTTTTCGAGGCAAATAAAGACTACAGGGTCGAGACCATCTCGGCGACAAAGGGCCACGTGGCTCGTTGTAAATGCTCCCTAAAAGATTTCAGAGATGGATCGCATGTAGAAATCTTTCAACTACAAACCCATTCCATTATCTAGTCATTTATAAATATTTTTGGGTTTGTTAACATCAAAATCCAGTAGTGAGTTATAATGATAGAATTGGTTGCAGTCATATAACTTAGATTTAATTGTTTACCAGTCCAACTCACTTACCCGGACATTTCTTCAGCTGCTGCAGCAGAGGCTGGGATTGCAACCTTGTGGCATTTATGGGTTGTCAGGTTCTGTGGATCAGAGACAGTCAAGTTGTCATGTAGTAAAGGAGATCTAGATCTGGAAAACAAGAGGAAAAGTCCTTCGGGTCAGAGACTGTAAACCAGACCGCTGCGGAGCTACACATGCTGCAGAAGATGAACCAGGTTTAACATTGCAGCTCTTGCATTGTATCAACTAATAAGCACCGGGGGGGAGTCAAAATATGGCAGCTCACTTTTGGCTTCTACTGCACATACATAGCTTTATCAGGCCCCATTAGTCGCGCCATGGACAGATGCATCATAAGATTCTTAAGACAGCCTGTGCTAGTACGATCTGATGAGTTCTGCTAAACTGTTCCATTCTAAGATTCACTCATTACAGGAGGAGCAAAAAGAGAGCTCAACTGCTGTTTCCTTGCTGCCGATTGGCACTGAAGCACATCTTCCTTGTCAGCATCACTGCCACCAAAAACCTGTCCTTCAAAAATGCATTAACGAATAATGTAATTCCTATAGTTATTCTAAATGCAGCAATTAACCCCAACCCTTAACAATCTGCAGAGAGTGGCATGAGCTATTGTCCAACTTGGAGCCTTCCACATCGTATCCTTTAGTTCTGAGCAATTGTTGGATCTTTTAGAATTATACTGCCATTTAACCTCCAGATTGGGAAGTACCTGCCCTTCGAGGAAAACCAAAATAAACCAGCAGAGCTATTTTTAAGTTCCAACACCATCATTCGAGATTCTAACTCCCTCATAACCTTTCAATGTCTCCGAGGAAAAATTCTCCAGTGCTTGAAATATTGGAACTAAACCCCTCCTTAAATTGCTGGCAGTAGCCTGCTGGAGCTGAATTATGGTCTCTTCATGTTTGGCCCTCTCTTCGTCCAGTCTTCTTTTCATTGCATCCAAGGAAATCTTGTGCTCAGGATGTGAAGCCTCGTTACCATTCGAGATAGGCACATGTGCCTGTCCATGCATCCCGTTTTCCTTCTGCAGTGACCTAAGCCTTCTCGCAAAATCTCTGGACAAATAGTCGGCCTTTAGCTTCTGGCGCTGCTCCTCATCTTGTGTCTCCCACAACCTATGTATGTTTATAGCAAAAGTCTGCATCGAATCTATCACTTCAGCTTCACATATTGCATCCATGTTATGGTACCAATCATTTGCGATTATAAAAGCACCAGGTGCTCCAATTCGGCTCGGGGAGAATGGTGCAACCCCATCAGGTGTCTCCTCCCTTTCCTGGAGAAGCCATTTCAGCAACCACCCATTTAGGGCCTCAATATAAGCCTTTTGAGCCTTGATCCAATTACTGAAACAGGCACACCAGTTCAAGAGTTCCACCTCCAATTCTATGGTGGCTTTAGCAACAGAACCACCTGTTCTGGCAACAAAATTCTGGCTTTCGCTTTCAACAACGGCCTGAAACTGCTTGTGATGGCAATCAAGCACAAACCTCCACATTTTCAACAATCTGCAAAGCAAAAGATGTTTTTAAGTGTAAATGCATTATATCATGCACTCAACTCACACAAATACGAAGAATCACTCAAGTTAACAGTTTCATTCTCTCTTCCTTAGAATAGAAAATGGATTATTACATTCAGACTTGACAAGTCTTGAATCTTAAAAACTATATTTACTTAAAAAACCATATTCGTTTCTTTTATCTATGGAATAGTTTCAAAATATTTAACAAGAGTCCATCAGTAAACCCAACAACTTGAAGAAGAATGGAGAATCTTCAATTTGACGAATAGAGTCAAGAAGAATGGAGAATCATCAATTTGACAAATACAGAAAAAAGTGAAACAGCTTCCATCTTAACTTAATGACTTCTGTTCTGTGTTCAATCACCATAGTATCAATGCTTCCCACCACTCAGACCAAGGTTAAGAGGCAATTATCAATTGTTATTCTGACTCGACCTACTCCCTTAATTAATTTGTTCACAGATATACCTTCTCATGACTCCCTCATCTTTTTTAGACTATTAACCTGCTTTCTTATCCTTCAATGATAACATAAGCACCTAAAGAGAGACTACTCTAGTAGTTGTTGCACATAAGCGCAATATCTTGATCTATCTCATCCTATAGTATTGCTCAGAATAGGTATTTTTTATCAAACAATAGAAATGTCAGACAGGAATGGAAGTACAATGCAGGAATCTCCACCACCAAAAGCATTACATTGCATGGCTAGAATCCACCTGCACAATATCCTTTCTAACTATGACTTCTTTCTTCTCTGTAAAATCCTTTCTTGTAAGTAACAGATTATTTTAATGTGAAATGCATAGTTGAGGGTGTGGTGCAGTTTGATAGCATAGCAAAACTGAAATGTCAAGATAAAATATGGAAAGATGGCTAAGAAGGTTACAATATATCCATCATATAGATAGAGTACACTTGGTCCTATATTCGTTTAGTTTGAGTTGCTCACTTGATTATGCTACTAGGCATATAATAAGAGCAAAGACACTTAAAAAATTAAAAGGCACAAGCTTAGTTGATACACAATCTTCATTACATAGATGGAGGCTAGTTTAAATAACATACCCCTGGATTAATTCAGTCAGCTGGGGTCGCAACTCTTCATCTCTTATTTTGTGTATCCTGCTTGAAATGTGATTGGCAGATCTAATCACAATGTTCAGTTTTGTAACCAAATTTCTTATGGAAGCCTGTGTAGAATCTATCTGCCAAGATTCTCCACCACTTTCATCCAAAGCTTTGAGTTGCTTCCACTCCCTTTCATAGATGTCTCGCAGTCTTTCTTCTTCCTGGTACAACCACCTCAGAAGTTTTAGCAACAACATGTAACCTAAAATAATTTAATTGCACATTAGAATATGCATTGGAAGACACAAGATTTTCTGGCCAAACTCTCTCTTGCACCATTTATGCTAGAGCTGAAGAGGATAATATACACAGACCCAAAACCACAATCCTATTTCTGATGAATAACTGCCTTTTTATCCAAAAGGAGATCTTTATATGACAACTACAATATTCTCTGGTGCCTTATGCTAGTTTAAAATGTGCCGGAAAAAATGTCCAGATAATTTAATACATCCATCCAGATGATATCAAAATGTTGAACCAAATGAGCAGTTTTATCGGGAAAATAATTGAAAAGAGAAGACGGCTTGCTGTTGACTGGGTCAATCTATGAGGATTACGAAAATTGTGCAGTGGAGGTGGCATAATCTGCTACAAAAGAAAGGAAATGTGTGTTGAAGGTGCCACAAGGATGAGCACAGCAAGATTTGCATATTAGTAGGGAAGAGCAGAGAAAGGAGGTCCTCTAGTTAGCGGAAGTTGTGGCCCTAGTTTTATGTATTCTTCCCTTACTCCTGAGACAATGACACATATTAACTGATTTTAGGACTATTAATTATATCATGGAAAGACTTCCTACAACGGGATTAAGATGCACGAGGAAAAATAACATGAAGCATGAAAGAAGCAACGGGTGGCAAACTTTCAATGGCTCAATGGATCGATACAGGCATTCATGCAGACAAAATTCAACATAATGTTCTTGCACCTATGGACTTTGCAATTAAACAAAATTTGTGACTAAAAACTTATATTTGGCTTTATTCTACTTCATAAGATTGTCACGCCAAATATAAGTTCTACTTCGTAAGACTAGATCTTGATAATAGGTACCATTAATTTCTACCAATTAAGTGTCTTTTAACATATATTTAGATAATTTCTTTCTTTTTTCTGATTTCATTGGTCTTCACTTTATTGATCAATATGGGCTTTCATACATTACCTAGAGATATAATATATTTACCCAAACCAAAGTGATTATCCTTGCAAGTCATGCTTTTTTCTTGTAATTGTGTAAATGTGATGTCATGATAAATACCTGTGTTCTGAATAACCTACCATTCATATCCTCAAAAGACAAGGAGCCATATTCTGAAGATTGTCGAGCAACTGTGCTAGTAGCACTTAGGTATTGTTTTCAGGTAAACAATCATACTGAGTTTGTCAGACTTGAAGACTGCCTATAGCTTTTCTGATTTCACCTATGTTAAGTTCCATGTCCTCAGTTTGAGTTCAAAGAACATGAACTTTTACACTAATGAGCTAGTGTGTGATACACTTTCAACTAATATTTACACAGGGCAGGAGTCGCTTTATATAGTAGAAACAATTTACTATAAAATTTACCTTCACATTTTTATGAAGTTTTTTCTCCCATATATATAACTTTTCAAGTGTTGATGAAAGTTTGCCAGGATCAATATCCATATTCCCCCAAGCAGCACGATCAGCTTTTTTCACTTTCAATGACCTTGAAGCTGGATGTTGTGAACTCGTGAATGATGGTTGTGATGATGGCCGAACAGGCGGAACCGCAGGGTCCAAAATTCTCGATAAAATCACTGCAAGAATGTGATCAGTTAAATTAATCCCGTGCAAAATGCTCAAGGACTAACAAGTAAGCACTTCTTTTTCCACCTGAAGGATCATGCCAAAACAAACAATAAACAACAAAGAAAAAAAAGGAAGCTGAGGGCCAAATGGAGTATTTATCTCTCATGCAAGAAGTGAAAAATCTCTCAGATAATTCTTGTAATGTAAATGTATTGACGTTCACATCATGCACATAGGAATATTGTAATTACATTTTCAGCACTGAATATCAACACCTTCGGATGGTATGATAAAACATCTTTGGAAACATATTTCACAGCAGCAAAGTTTTAATACATACTCTACAGAACTAGAAACATGTAATACAAGATTGGTTACAGGACCTTCATGCGGACAGTAGTTCAGCACCATAGTAATAAATGTTGCACTAACAAAAGGGACACTTTCATATTATAATACCAACTAATCATATAGCAAAGAGAATTGTAACAAGCAGCATTAACACTTAGCACAGAAAAAGAGATATAGTAACATGGATAAGCACAATGATACACAAGACCAAGAGGAAATAGAAAACTATCTTAAATCTAGAAAAGTTATATTTAAGGGAGAGAATAATGGCAAAGATGTCCTATGTCATTCTTGGATTAGTTGTGCTAACTTTTAAGAAGTCACTCAAAAGGATATTTTCATATGCTAAGGTTTTCCACATATCCACAAGAAAAAAAATATTGTCACCTACATTCCACGGGAGGATAAAAGCCAAGAGTTGAACAAACTTCTCAGCTGTATACAAGCAACCAGAGGTCAAGCCAAGAGTTGAACAAGCTTCTCAGTCAAGGTAATGGGAGCAGGAAAGAGTTGATCAAACCTCATGTTAACAAGATTAAATCCAAACTTCAAATTTTCTGTAAACAATTATCCATAGCTTCAAACTTTTGAGAAGAAACAGAAGATTGGGTCATGCAAAACCTACCTCTCAGAATTCGGTTTCTTGATCTGTACGGTAACTTGCCTACCTCAAGTATCTCAGAGACCTCTTTACCACAGTTAGCAGCTGACTCAAATTGTTCTTTGATTTCAGTCACAACTTCCATCACGTTCCTCGTACCATGTGCAGATAATGCATTTTCTTTACTCGGTTTGCTGTCATCTGTGACAAGTGATGTTCTGTCCTCAAAGATCACAGTTTTCTTCTTCGTATTCTTTTCCATCTCATCCTCTTCGACTTTACTGACCGAAGAAATATCCTGACTGTCTTCTTTTACTTCCGGCGCAACTGCATCACCTTTGCCAATGGCTTCTTGCTCCATTGCTGCCACATTCGAGCCCCTCTCACCAGAAACACTCCCTGCAGCATCCTTATCTGCCCCCTTCCTCTCCTTCACTGGCGCAATAACAGACTCTTGCTCTGTTTCCTCTTCCAGATCAGGAATGCCTTCCTTCTCCCTTACTTCGCTCGAGTTAGGACTGCTTGTGACCGAACCCACTCCATAGTTTCCGTGTAAGTACCCAGGAATCATCTGCTCGTATGAATCAAAAGGGTTAAAGAAGTCCCAAGCAGATCCATCTGCGGGTGGTGGCGGCGGAGGGGGATCAGAAGGCTTATCCTCCCTCTGAGGCGGGTTCTGATAGAAATGCTCATCATGAGCATGCGGCTGCATTGGATCCATCGGGGCACTGTACACTGGATAGCCGTAGTAGCCATATCCCACATGGGCCGTGTTGGACCATGTGGGATAGCTATTCTGATAAACTGTGGTGGAGGAGACCGTGGAGGCCGATTTCATGTAGTGGTAATTAGGGATGGGAGCACCATAGAATGGATGATGAGGAAAAGAACGTTCCGAATCCTCACTGCCTCCACCAATATCACTACTTTCCCCAGTGATCTCCTCGGACTCATCGTCGGACGGCAAATGCAGGTGGGAATCATCGGAATGCGAGCGGGAGATCGAAACAAAAGAGGAAGCCGAAGCGCCCACCGGGCCGCCACCGTGGCTTTCCCCCTCCGACCTCTCGATCTTGGCTTTCGCCTTGCCCTTCCCTTCGGACGGCGGCAATGTAAGGACGGGGGACGCCGGCGCCACCGCCACGAGCTCCTCCTGGACAAAGCGGTGGAGGGCATCCCCGACGCGGCCGAGCGCGCGGAAGTAGGCGGCGTGTGCCGCCGCGAGGACGAACCGGTGCTCTGCCGCCGCCCTGATGAGCTCCCGCCGCTCCCGGCACAGCGCCACCAGCGGCGGCTCCTCCGCCTTCGAGCTCCCGCACCCCATCAACAGCCCCCTACGGCACCGACATTGCTCCCCAATCCCAGAAGCACCATTCCACGTCCCAAGAGAAAACCTAACCCTAACCCAAAACTCCAACGCTAACTTCTCTCCCTCTCATTGCCATCCATGTGAGCTGCAAATCCTCTCTCTCTATCTCTATCCCACTCTCTTACCTTGTTAGGGCTTTAAACTTTTGTTGCACCAGTCGATTCGGGTGAGAGAAGAAAAGGATTTTAGCATGAGCCAAGAAAAGAATAGAAGCAAATGGAGAAGGAGATGGAAAGAAAGAGAGACAGTCTTGCAGAAGAGATGACTGAAGAGAGAAGCGCGAAGGGAGAGGGATACCACCGTGTGCGAGAGCACTCTTTTGCTAGTTATCTCAGCACCCGATTTCCTACCTGCAGCCCGTTGGAGAAGGAGAAGGTCCCACATTAAGTAAACGACCGGGTAGAACGCAGGTGGGACGGGCTGAAAGCGGGGGACCACGTGGAGGCGCCTCGAAGCAAGAGCAGCGGGAACGTGGCACGGGTCGGGCGCGGCTGCCGCGCGAGTGTAAGTGTAGCCTCCCTTGTGGGCCCCGCGTGCTGCCCGATGGGACCCCCCGAGACGAGATCTGGCATCTCAAGCGAAACGAGTCGGATCTCCGACCCTCCGTTCTCGTTCTCCCCCTCCCTCTCACTGTCACAGCTTCCAACAAAGGTTGTCTCCCCTCCCTCCCCAATCTCCTGTGCCACAAACGAGCACCAGACTCTACATGCTGCAATGTGAAGCTTAAGCTTGGTCCACCGTGTAGGGTTCCAGCTAAAAAGAGCACCTTTGCTGATGACAGTTATTACTACCCTCTGCAAGTTGATTGGTCGTCAAAGAAGATACAAGGATGACCAAAAGAATATAATGAAGCGGAAGATACTCCAAACCTGGCATCTAATCAAAGCCTCAGCAACCATCTCAGTTCCACATGCCATGTTTCCCCCATCTAAGCAAAGGGAGGAGGATTCTGCTACTCGAACTCGGCTCCCAAGCCCGAGTGTGAGACTACACTCATTTCCACATCCACTGCATGGAAGCGCTGTAGCAGTAATAAAGCCCCTGCCACCGGCTCAGTACCACCTCCGCAACGCGACGACGACCTGTGAATCCAATCATGCAATAAAAGGACATGGTCATTTCGCATGGTCCTCGGGCTGCGTCTCAGCCCCATGGCCGCCTTGGAAAGCTGGGAGACTTTGACAAGGGGGAGGGGGGGACAGGAGAGGGCGGTCAAAGGCGAAGGACACCGCGGTAGAAAAGAGGCAGAAACCGGTGCAGGATTCCAACACGGTTTCACGGTGATGCGATAAAGAGAGCAGGAGCAGATTAAATGGAAGTGGTTGGGTGTGTGTGCAAAGTGACAGGCAGTAATATGAAGGTTGTACTGTAAAGCAGGAGATGCCGGCTTTCTGATTCGGGTGGGAGAGATCGATGGATGTCTGTGGTCTCATCATACGTGGTTAAGGGAAAAAGGTTGAGATGAAGGTGGAGGACGAGGTGATTTGACGTTGTACCACTGAAATGTCAGGGTGGGGAGAAGGAAGAGGTTGGTGCAGGAAACAGGAGATACACATGAGGCTGGTGCAGATCACAGTGAGATGTCTCACTGGGTGTACATGCTGTAGTTAAGTGTGCTGACAACTTCACCAAACCAGTGAGGCAGATGTACCGTCCGTGAAAGACGAGCTTAGCTGAGGTGACAGCTTGTTAATTCATTATTAGGCACAAATAGTTCCTTGTGTACCATTTGCCTCCAGAAGTGCGAGACACATTGGAGAGGAAGCCCCCTAGGAAGAGGTTCCTCTCTATCAGGATCCATCAAATTCATTTAAATTTAGGATGCCTGGTAAAGTAACTAAGAGATTTGAAGAAAAGCACATGTACTGTGTGACTACTTGATATGATTAAGGTGAATTAAAAGATCCATCATATAAGTTTGGACTGATCATGAAAAGATAAATAGTCAGTGTGAAACTGTAGACATGGATTTTACTGGAGACATATCTAATCAACCCTAAATAGTCAAAACATTATGGCCTGTTGATGTCCATTTAAATAGGGTGAAATATGGTACGTACCTCCACCAAGAATTTTGGGTTACCAACATTGCCAGCTAGCCTCTAAAAAGATCCAGTTGTAAACCTGAGCCTGCACACTGGTACTTTCTGACATTTGAACAGTGGTGGGATCCAAATTGGGCCAGACATTGAAAGGATAATGAAAGAGCCATGTCCCCTAAATTTCAAAATGTATTCATTGAAAACAATAATGAAAAATACTCATTTTTGATTTTTTTTTTGAAAAATACTTAAAAAAACGATATATCGAAATTGCTCCTTAAGACACTGTACCACCTTTGGTTGGATCAATCTAAACCACACTATTAACCGGTCCAACCTCATTAATTGTTGTTAGATTGATTATCAAATCTGTTTCTCTTCGTAATTGAATCTAATTAGTTTTTCTTTCTTGTACTCCTTTGGTCTCATGCCTCTCCGACTTACTTCGCTCTTTGTAATGATTTGCTCATCTCTAGCTCTCCAACTTCCTTCGCTCCTTACAAGGATTCGCTCATCTCCGTCATCGACGAAACCCCCGTATTGGCTTTTCTATTTCCTCTTAGACTTTTGCTAGTCGACTTTATCTCGAAACTCTATTGTCGATTCTCCTGCATCCTCTCGAATCACTATTATCGTCGTTCTTATCCTTAAGCTACAATTTTTATGGAACCTGTTCTCGTCTCATCTACTCTCGACGAAGGAAATATGTTATGTATTTCTCCTCCCTAGAGTGGCTCCACCTATACAGTATTTTGGTTTTAGTTTAGGGTTTTTGCTCTCAGGTGGCAACCTAAACCCTAAAGCAGACAGTATTTTATCATGTCTTCTCTCTCCCAAACCCCTAAACTCCAGCAACCCTTAACGTCCCCTTCGTCTCCTCTAGTGCCAACGACTATAAACTCTCCTGTAGCATCTATAATCCTCTTGTTGGTTTTGAAACACTATAGATCAGTGTGAAGAGAGGAGAAAACACAATACATGAAAATTCACTCATCTCATACACTATCCTAGCTGACTGCTGTAGGGATTCCTTTGACGGAACACACTATTATCACAACTCCAAATCAGAGAGGGGAGAAGAGAGAAGAGCAAAAGCGATGAAGGTTGGACCTTTTTTTTTAGGCAAAACATGGTAAAGAAATGAGTTGAGCCCTAAATAGTTTCATTAGCATTGGACCAAATCGACCGATCCATCCATATGAACTGGTCCTTAAGCTGGCTCCCAAGATCAACGGGAAACAATTGTTGTAGCTTTGAAGGGCATTTCTAATGTTTTTTGAAAAGAGGGGTTACTGATCAAGAATAATCAAAAGGGGGGCGATTGAGCCAAAAAACCCAAAAGGTGGATATTTTCCTGTGCAATTGCCCAATAATTAATACACATTGATTCAAGACAAATATAGATGTATACTAAATGCCAGATAGAACTAAATCAGGTGTAATATTTGAAAGCTGAAGCTATCTTTACAATGTTCTTTCTTGAAGAATGCTAATATGGGCCAAAGATTGAACATTAGATTTTTCAAATAGGAAATTAATGAATAACCATTACAACTAATTCTTTTTAAGAAAGTGAATCAAGTTTGAATAGGTTAGTTGATGCTAAGATTTGAATTTATTAGTAGGATTGGAAACTCAGTTTTTAGAATTCTTCTTGTTTAGTTGTTTAGGTCAATTGTTTATGGTATTCTTCAAGACAGGTTAGTTCTTGTGATCATTGCCAATCAATCTGCATAAGCCAACTGGTTTTTTTTTTTTTGGCTTATACAATTTTTTAAAATGCAATTTGCATAACCAATCTAAATTCAGTGTTTCTTTCTGCCTTTTTGTTGGAAAATAAAATGAAATCCTATGATAAAATAGAATAATTTATATTGTAAATTGACTTAAAGCATGCCAACATCCTGAGAAAATGTTTAGGATTCACCAAAATCAACAATCGTTTACTGAAGTGTCTTTGTATGGTCTACTTTAATCTTGTATCTGGATATGATAAGATGGTCTTTATTACCTGATATTAGACATTTTGCACACAACTTATTTGCAGCCAAGACTAAATGTTGTTCATATGTTATCAAAGAAAATGGAAGTTTAGAAAACTTCGTAAGATAATCATATCTAAAGCTACAGGCAGAAATCACTATCCCTTAAGTGTACAATCATCATTTTCGAATTTAGTCATCAGAATCTTGATGACCTTCATTTAGTTTTCATAATAAGAATGTAGTGATGGATTACTAGTAGCTTGTCATGGAACTAATATGTCCCCTACTTAAAAACAGTGGCTGTCATTTATCCTTGGTGAATTTCTGCTTGTTGTTGATTTGCGTATTAGAAATTAGCCTCAAGAACTTAATAAATCAACCCATATTATATACCTTGAAAAGCATTAAGAGATAATAACACGCTGAAAAGGATTCAGACAAAAGGATGGTATTTCTTCTCTTCCTTCTCTCTATGAATATGATAAGCATTAAAGATACAACATTAAAAAATGAGAATGGCATCTTTGATGGCTTCTAAATTAGCTAGTTTTTTCAAGTTATTTGACCAAAAATCACTAGGTTCATGCAGAATATGTTTGAGAGAAAGCATTCTGCAAACCTTGTATCACAATGTTATCTGCAGCAGCAAGACACACCACGGAATTTACTTTATCACCATCTTCATCCACATATCTACAAGTTTTGAAGGGTAGAATATGCTCCTTCAGCCAACTGCATGGACACAGTCATAGATTTGAAACAAAGATTCCGGTGACATACTAAAAGTTCCAATGTCAGACCAAAAAAGCATCGAGAAACCATTACTCACCTAGTTGCCATGGTTATCAAAATCATGGAAGCACCTTTGACTTCACACATTCAATGGCCTTTGTTGATAACTTAGCAGTCTCTTCCAATCATCTTCTTTCCAGAAAAGGTTTGTTCTCATTATCTGAAGCGTATATCTTCAGTGATCATATATTGATATATGCTTGTAAGTACACAATGGAGTCAGCAATATTAGTCGGGATGTGTTGAGCTGGTATGGCACATTCAACAAAAATTTGGACTGAAGATTGATGTCAAATGATGGCTAGATAATCAAGCATCCAAAAACCATCAGATTCAGAAATCTGTTTTCATTTTCTCTTCTTTATGTCATTCTCCACAGCAATCCCCATATAATGTGGATTCTTCATGAACACATCCCACGCCATTCATCACCCAGTCCAAGAGTTGCAACATTGAGTATACAGCTTTACCTTCCCAGTGGAATAATTGGTCTGTCTTAAATACATAGATATGCTTCCTAACGCAAATCCAGCTATACTCCCTAACCTTCCTGACACCTCTCTCTTCCATGGCCTTCAGCACACCAGCCATGCTCTCCCATCTGCCACGTACTCCATACATCTGAGCCAACACTAAGTAAGGGAGAGAGAAGCGAGCCTCCAAATCCAACAGCTTCTCTGCAATTATTGTGGCAAATACCAAGTCCCCATGAATCCTACAAACATTAAGAAGCAAGTTCCACAATGATAGGCTATGACTATGAGGTGAAGTCTCTATGATATTCAATGTTTCTTTCAGCATTCCTGCTCTCCCCATCATGTCCACCATACAAGCATAATGCTCCAGATCTCTCATCACTCCATATTTCTTCTCCATCAATGAAAATATTCTTTTCCCTTCATGGACCATATGCCCATAACTACAGGCTAAAAGAACACCAACCAGGGTTATCCTATCTGGCTTGACACCATTCCCTTGCAACTCTCTGAAGATTCTAAGAGCTTCTACACCTTGCCCGTTTTTTGCTAAACCCATGATCATGGTATTCCAAGAGACCAAGTCCTTGGCAACCATCTTGGAAAAAATCTTCATGGCACACTCAACGAAACCCAACTTAGCATACATGTCAACCAGCGCATTAGCAACAATCATATCTGCGTCAAAGCCTGTTTTCCAAACCCAGCAATGGATTTGCATGCCAAGATCGGTTGAACAGAAACACATCCTTGAGTTGAGAATGGTTGCAAAGGTGAACTCTGTAGGCAACACGCTCTTCCTCAGTGCCACCACAAAAAGCTTTATAGCCTCATCCCCAATGCTGCTCCGAACATAACCGGAGTACATTGAATCGCAGAGCACTGAATCCCATCTCGGCATCCCTTGGAAGATCCGAACTGCATCATCTAATCTGCCAAAGATGGAATACATGTCAATAACAGCGCTAGAGACTATAGAATTTGAAAGGAACCCCATCTTGAAACAGTGGGCCAAGAGTTGCTCACCCTTAGCCAAATTCTCAAGGTCAGTGCAAATGTTGAGCACACTCGACATAGTGAACTCATCAGTTGAAAACCCAGCAGCCCTCATCGCACAGAAGCACTCTAATGCTTCCATTCCACAACCTGACCTACCATATGCTGAGATCATGGAGTTCCAAGAGATGACGTCAGAGTTATCCATGGCACAGAAAATTTGGCTAGCATATCCTGCGAGTCCAACTCTTCCATACATATCAATGAGTGAGTTACCAAGCACAGTATTTAGTGAACCTGATCCGAAGCGGGTAATAAATCCATGCACTTGCTTAGCCTGTCGAGGAGACGAGACACAAGAAGCAGTGATGGACAGTGTGAAAGCACTAACTTTGACACCGAGATCTTGCATCCGGTGAAGAACCCCAAACGCCTTATCGAAAAATCCAGTGGACACGTACCCCGAAATCAGCGAATTCCAACTCACCACATCTCTCTCAGGCATTTCCTCGAACAGTTCATGGGCGGCTTCGACGCAGCCAGTTCTAACAAGCGCCATAAGCAGAATGTTCCACGTGAACCTGTTCTTATCAGGGATGTCATGAAAAACTCCGATAGCGAGCGTGATGGAGCCAAGGCCAGAGTAGAGGCCGAGGAGCCGGTTGCCAAGGAAGGTGTGGCGATGGAGGCCGGTCTTGACGAGATGGGCGTGGATGGATTGAGCGGAGTAGAGGGAGCCGAGCGTGAGGCAGCGATCAATGAGGTTGGAGAAGAAGGAGACACTGAATCTTCCGGTGGTTCTCAAAGAGCCACCAAAATTGATCATTGGCAAACAGGGGTGGCCGTCATCCGCGGCAGAGGGACTTGCATCGCCTCAGAGACTCTCTTATGATGGCTTCCGCAGTGGCTTCCTCTGCTTCCAATTACATCAGCTATTTTCGGGGATCAAGATGAAGAATAGAGGGGAGATCGAAGCGTCGAAGTGGAAGAGCTTCTCCCTGCCTCCTCCCGTGCTTCTTCCCTCCTCTCAGTTCAGGGTAAAAGAAGGGTTTTTGAAGTGCTTTTCCCTTCCCACCAAGCTAAAATGCTAGCTTGAGCTCGACCTTCGATCCTCCCCGTCCATCTTGGTTGCACGCCTTTTGACGGAGTCCCGATCGCACAGATGACTAATGTTTAGAACGGTCGAAAACGAAGCACGAGCGGTAGGCCATAGAAGATCTTCAAGCGCCGCTTCAGTCACGACTTGAACTCTCACATCCGATGACGCGCGATGACACGCGCAAGTGTCGATTCGTGTATCTACGACTTAAGTCAGTGCACGAAGTATTGCTTCGCAGCCTGTACACAAAAATATGCAGTATTAGTAGAAAAAGAGTAATATGGGTGGAAAAATAATACAAAAGAAAATAAGTTAGTATTAATTGAATTAATGTAACATATAATGCTAAGAAATAAAGAACTCTAACAGGAACTTACAGTCAGAAAATAGAATGCATCACGAAAATAATCTTAGTACTATGTTTGTGATTACTATATCATGTCATTGACCATAATGTATGTATTTGTATTTTTAAAAATTATGGAATAGGATAAATGTATAATATTTTTTAAGAGGTATTAATGTTATTATATTAATGAGCTAATTATATATGACTCTCTGAACCTTAATAGCATCGTGATTTTTATATTTTTAAAAACTTTATTGGACTCCCATAAACTATAATAATTTACTTCATTTTTAATAATATCGTTTGTAGTCCTCACGAAAGACGAATTGGCACCAAATTGATGAGCAAAATAGTCATTATAACTTTTCTTTCATTTTTATATTTTTCCTAAATTAATTTTTTTTTAGTCAACACTAATCCACATCGAAAACTTTTAATCAGGGTTCGAGAGAGGAAGAGCTCTGTTTTTCCAATCAATTACTAAGAGTTCTATTCATTAGGGTTCGAGAAAGTTAGGGTTTACGATCTTTACTATATAACATATGAGGACTAGAGATATTTACTATAACATGTAAGGACTAGGTGTCAAAGCAAAGAACTTATGGTTGAGTTGTAAAGACCTCATAAGTGTTTATCTTCTTTTTGTTTTGTTTTTTTAATCATTGTGTTTGAATGAAGATTTATTGAACCATTTAATTCATTGTTTTGAATCATATTTTTGTGAAATAGTGGTTGGAATCATATTCTTGTGAGTGTTTACCTTGCAGCAACAGTGTGGTTTCTTGTTGAATCATATTTTTGTGAAACTGTGGTGGAATCAGTGGTGTTTCTTGTTGGATCAGTTGTGTCTCATAACCGGAATCATAGTTTTGAATCATTACTTTTGCTTCCATCATGGATATTTATTTTAGGATCCTTGTTATGTTGATGGTGTTTTCGCCTACTATAGATGATTTTTTATCGACTGTGACAGTGTTTCGTGATGATCCATTACAATTTAATGAATGTGAAAATAAAGGAGATAAAATACTACAAAGATTGGGGGATGAAATAGTATGAGGAATGAAACAGTAGAAGAAAATAATTAATAGCCTATGATTCAAGAGAAAGACTTTACTCAAGTTAGGTCTACATTAGAATAACTTAGGTGATCTCCAGTCATATTAACATTACAAGATAAAAGACGACAATGGTGATAGTAAAGATACAGCAGTCGATGTTATAGTGGATCACAAAAGCAAAGATAAAATAGTATATCTATAATTTAATGCTAGAGTTGACATGAATAACTCTGAGATTTAACTTAGAATGTGTTTTGCTTGTGTGGAAGAGTTTCATGTTACGATTAAAGAACATGCCTATATAAAAAATAATAAGAACAGAATTAAGGTGATATGTCAAGCTAAATATGATTGGATGATTTATGCATCAAAAATATAAAGAGAGTCAACTTTGCAAGTGAAAATCTTGAACATTATGCATTTATATGGAAGATCATTTGAGAATCCTTTAACCACAGTAAAATGATTGATCAATAAATACTATTGTGATAGAATTAGAATGAATCTCACGAAAAGTTTTGAAGGCAATAATTCAATAACATTTTAAAGCTCCTTAGATTGATGATGCAATCATGCATGGCTATTTATTTGGACAAGTTGTTCAAACAAGGTACATTGCAATCCAACAAAATAATCAAAGCTCCTCTACATCTGGCCAACTCAACTTTAAACCTTTTACTTTTTGCATCAGACTTGAAATTACTCTGTTTGCTCGTTCACACAGGTGGATCAATCCAAGTAAAAAAGCCACATCCCTTATATTTTTGTTACATCATAAATAAGGAATGGTTGTCGAGAGGAACAAAGACAAGTATACAACCAACAAAGATGAAATCGTCAAAAGATGAATCATTAGAATGGCAAGAGAAATTGGTTATCAAATGTTGAACTCACACATAGTATTTGTGTAGAAATCATTAAAATTGGTTATCGAATGTTGAACTCACACATAGTATTTGTGTAGAAATCATTAGAATGCCTATTGTCCGTTCAAGAAGTCCTCGTTATTGATTGTGAAAAGTTTTACTGCTAACCCTAAGAGACTGATTTGGGGAAGAACTATAAAAAGTTGACATAGGGCCACCCTAAGCCAACCGCCCCTTTCTATCATTGAATTAACAGATGAAATGATCGTTTTGTCATTCACTAAATCGCTAATTCAGCATGTGATATCATCAGTGCAGCAAACGATGTTATTAAAAATAAAATGAATTATTATAATTTCATAATTATGGGGAGCCCAATATAACTTTTAAAAATACAAGAATCATGATATTGTAAGATAATAATATGGGTAAAAAATAAAAAAAAATAACTTGGTATTAATTGAATTAATGTAACATATAATGCTAAGAAATAAAGTATCCTAACGGGAACTCCCAATAAAAAAAGGATATGCATCACGAAAATAATCTTAGTACTATGTTTGTGATAACTACATGTGTCAATAACCATGATGTATACATTTGTATCGTTTAAAATTATGGAATAGGATAAATATATAATATTTTTGAAGAAGTATTAATGTAATTATATTAATGATCAATAATAAGCTTTTGAGTTTTGCATAGATATATAATTTAGAGGATAAAATTATGAAATTTATTAACTTCTGAGAAATGTACAACATTATGTAATGTTGTCAATTAATTTCAAAAAAGTAGATGAAGTAGTGAGCCAATACCTGTGTGTAATTGGCAGATGACTCTTTTGGAAGCTACATGTAACCACAATAAGTACCTGCAACTTGAACTCTCAGAATTATTTTGCCTCTGGACATATCAATATACCTTCAGAAGGGATGAAGTATTGGACTTCTTGCGATTGCAATTTGGATGGAACACAACACAGGAAGAAAACACTCATTTACTTGTTGAATTAGAGGGGATGGTTGTTAGGCAATGACATGTGCCAAGCATACTGACAGATAAATGTTTTCAATATCAATGAACTTTTTTTTTCTTCATTTTTATCTCAAAGAGTTCCTCTATATCCCTGATCAAACTCTTGAATAGAAGTCATAGGCATATGCTTTTACTTTGCTCACAAAGAAAAGAATCCTATCCAAATTTGTTTGACAACCAGTGATGCCATGATCCTTCATTTCATTTTGTACAACCACCCTTTTCTTGTGATCCTAAATAATGTGAAAGCCTTTCTCTCTCTCTCTCTCTC